GGGGTACGACCTTCCCAAGGTAAAGTGAAGGGGAGTGTGCTGTGGCCTAAACATGACCACTGTGAACAGCGGGAACCAGACGCTTAGGTCCTTCAGAGCTCTGAAGGACCTCGAGGCTTGGCTGGGGGATGGGGGAGGGAAGAATGATAAGAGATGAAGCAGCCTTTAAGAAGCCCAAGTCCACCAATGTCAATTTTTAAATGTCCTCGTAACTTTCTAGGAACGACACTGCTCTTCACTTGCAGGAGAGAAATACACATTGGTAAGACTGCTGCTGCTCTTCTCTCTCCAAGTAAAAAAGCTGAGAATAAGAATCTATGATGGTAGGTACTAGATAAAAATCTCCATTTCTCTCTTATGAGACACATTCTCATAGAATGTTAAGGAAAATATGTCTTGAAATCTACAAACAAAAGAAAAAATCCAACTGACATCAGGAACCTACAAAAAATATACATTTAAAAAGTCAGTGTTTCAGGCACCTAAATTATCAACAAATCACACTATCTGCATGGAAGATCCTGGAAACATGTAGATATCTCCACAGAGATTATCTCTGCCTAAAGACACAGACAAGTATGTTTTTTCTGACATTACAAGGAGAAAAACAGTTGAACACTGTTGCACATTGCCTAAGAAACCACTGTTCTTTGAAATAGACTCAATACAAGCAAAATGTCTAACAAGTTCTAGCATTTTTTCCCTCCTGTTCTAACAGTCTTTTAAAAAATTAAGCAAAAAGAAAAACATTGGAAAAAATTAGTATTCTAGATATTAATAACTACTCACATCTACAATGAGTAGATGTTTCTTACAGTTTAAAAACTTTTTTCAAATATCTCTTAATTTCCTTCAAATAGCTCTGAATTTAACTAACAGATATGCAGACAGTATCCACTATGGGCAAAGCACAGGAATTCTAGAAACGCCTAAGTCCCAGTACTAGCCCAGATGACTTTGGAATCTAATAGAAAATGCAAATGTATACACAAGGAACTTCAATTTTAACATTAGTGCCTTTTTAAAGGTTAAGTAGAAAGTGCTTTAAGAACACCACAAAGGAAAGAGCCTGAAGGGGTGATGTCACAAAGCAGGTGACAAACAAGCTGGGGCCACAGCAGCAGTTCCTAATCCAGTTGATCTCCACAACCTTCTGAGGAGATTCTCTCTCCTTCTTTCCATATTCGGATATTTATATAACATAAAACAAAATATTTAGAAGCATTCTAGGACCACATACACATAGAATTTTATAGACTATTTGTAATCATCTATTTTCAACATTGTCATCTTTCAGATAAAGAAAATGAGATCAGGCCTCACTCCAGACACTGAATCAAAATCTCTGTGGGGGTAGGCCCAAAGTCCACATCTTTAAAAAAATTAAATAAATACACAGGTTATTGGAATCCTCAAGGTACAAGAAGTACTATGTTGGACAGTAAGGGAAAGGGCAATCTAAGGAAAAAACCATGTGAAGAAAGCACTTGGCCATGAAAGTGCAAATGAGCACAGTGTGGGCAGGAATGGTGGGAGATGAGGTTGAATGGGGGGTGGGTTCAGGAAGTGAGGGGCTTTGTATTAATATATCACGCTAAGGCCTTGATAGTTGAGTCCACAGTGATGAAAATCCATTGAAGATTTTTAAAATAAGAAAGTGAGGCTATCGACCCTCTACTTCTATGAAGAAAGGAACCGAACAAGGAGGGTGTAGGGCAGGTCAGGAGGCTGCTGTCCCAATCTCTTTGAGCAAGCAGGGCCTGGAGCTGCTGGAGGAGAGCGAGGAGAGGGCCAATCCAAAGAGCACTTGGTGCTGGAACTGTCAGGGATGGTCCCTAGATAAGGAGATCGAGAATGGAAAAGGCAACAAGTTGTTGATGGATGATGACGACGTTACTCAGGACCAGGAAATAGGGAGAGGAAGAGCAGTGTCGGGGGCAGGAATCATCTATCAGGTATGCTTAGCTTGAGAGTGCCCAGTGGACCAGTGTGCACACTTCCAAACATAGTTTGGAAACAAAGGTCTGGAGCCAGCAGGGGAAATGTGAATACGGCAATAATGGATACAGCTGAAGGAAAGCTATGGAAAGACAAGAAGCCATAGGGCAGAATCTTAAAGACCTGTAATGGACATGTCCAAGACCAAGTACCAGGAGCAGCAGAGGAAGCAGAGCAGCAGTCTTATCAGGAGTGTCAGAATGAGGAGACCTGGGGTGGGGTACGGTGCTGGGGTGGGGGTGTCAAGAAGTAGTGGTCATTGTCAAATGTCACAGGGCGTAAAGCCCAAAATCAGCCATCTAATTTGGCAATTGCAACTTTATTGGTGACCTCAGGGAGAGTAGTTGAAGAGGATTGTCCAGAGGTAGAAAGCCACACTGTATAGATGAGGAAACTAAGTCTCGGTGTTTAGGTGACCTATCTAAAACCATACAGCTTAAGAAGAATTCACACGTTTATCCACTAAATGCCAGGATAACTGTGCAGGAGATAGGAAGATGCATGGTGTGTGGTCTTGCTCTAAAAGAACAAAGGGAGAGAGTCACAGACACAGAGCTAGAAGACCAGCGGGAACCCAGAGGAAGGAGAGTCAAACCCCCTGACTGGGGGGAAGCCTTCCAAAGGCATACTTGGCACTTGGGCCTTGTAACCGAGCTACGAAGGATAGGAAGGATTGGGACAGACGATGGCAGGAACTCAAGGAACAGGGAGCAGAGTAATTCATATCAAAAAAAATCTGTAGGACATTTAGATGGGGAAGTTCAGGCTGTCACTCTACTAGAAAGACTAGAATATATACACACCCAGACATTTGAAAAACTGTTTTAAAAGGTCTTAAATGTCAACCTTTCCCAAACCAAAACTCTTAGTCATTCTTTTGTGTGTGGGGTAGGGCTGGGGAAGCAAATGAACACTGGAGAGGGAGAGAGCAAGAAAGACCATGCAAGCATGTGCCTCCAAAAGTCTAAAAGGGAGTTTTTGCCCTGCAGACTAACACGGCTACAATTTATGTGCTGTACTTCCCAGTGATTATCTCACTTAATCCTTAGAATAGGTGTTATTTGATCTATTTTATTCAACCAACTTATGTACCGAGCTCAAGGTCACATATAATAAGAGATGGTGCCCGGACCCAAACCCAAGCCTGACTGACTCTAGGCTCTTCCACGGCTGCCTCTTTGCAGGGCTGGCCTCTACTTCCAGAGAATGTCTGAAGACTAAACCCTATCACCACAGGTAAGATTCTTTTTTTTTTTGAGACAGAGTCTCACTCTCTTGCCCGGGCTAGAGTGCCGTGGCGTTAGCCTAGCTCACAGCAACCTTAAACTCCTGGGCTCAAGCAATCCTCCTGCCTCAGTTTCCCGAGTAGCTTGGACTACAGGCACGCATCACCATGCCCGGCTAATATTTTCTATTTTTAGTTGTTTGGCTAATTTATTTCTATTTATAGTAGAGACGGGGTCTTGCTCTTGCTCAGGCTGGTCTCGAACTCCTGAGCTCAAGCAATCCTCCCTCCTCGGCCTCCCAGAGTGCTAGGATTACAGGCGTGAGCCACCGCACCCAGCCCACAGGCAAGATTCTAAACAAAGATGTTGTCAGCCACCAGACAACATCCTATTTCACAAAACATCAACATAAGGCTACTTTTGTATACAATAAACACGATCGAAAATATCCTATGTGGAGTTAATATATGTTTGTTTTGGTTTGTTATAGGTCAGACAGGATGCAGGAAGAAGCAAGGATTAAAAATCTTAGCTAACTGAAGATTTACTTACACCTCATTTTATACAAAAGATGACTTTCAAAAAAAGTTGAACATAAAAATACCTATGAAAGTAATAGTTTTAGATATACCACAGAGGTTGCCCTTTAAGGTGCTTGTTTTACATGAGGTGGTGAGGAAAGTATTTTCCTCAACACAAGTGACTTGGCTCAACTTAACAATTAAGTTAGTGTCTAGGGGCAAGGTTCGAAAGCCTACTTACTGCTCAGTAATTTATGCCACTGCAAAGTAATAGCAACAAGATTAACCTATTTTTAAAGATTTGCAAAGAAAATTTTAATAATGCCCCAAAATAAATTTGTAAAAGCATTTAGGTAGTTTAAAAAGCATTTTCAAAGAGAAAACAGACATCATAAAAGACTGGTAGATTTTTACCATATAAAGATTTAAAGACTATGTATGGCAAAATGCAAAAAACAAAGTAAAAAGACAAATGAAAAGTGAGGGAAAATATCTATAAAGCTTATGATA